TGTCTTTCTGTCTGCGTGTCTGTCTGATTCTGTCTGGTAAAATGTCTGCCTATGTCTCTCTGATGTCTATCTGTCTGTCTGTCTATCTGTCTGTCTTTCTGTCTCTGGCTGTTTGCCTTTCTCTGTCTGTCTGTTTGTCTGTCTGTCAGTCTCTGCCATTTTCTATCTGTCTCTGTCTGTTTCTGCCTGCTTGTCTCTGTATATATGTTTACCTGTCTGTCTTCCTTTCTATCTGTGTGGCTGTCGCTGTCTGTCTGTCTGTCTGTCGTTCTCTAATTCTGTTTCTTTCTGTCTGGTTCTGTCTGTCTGTGTGCCTGTCTCTATCTGTTTGTCCGTCTGTCTCTGACTATCTGTCTGTCTTGTCTGTCTGTCTCTGTCCGTCTCTCTGTTTTTCTAACTGTCTATGTCTTTCTCGCTCTTTGTCTCACTCCATCTGTTTGGCTCTCAGTCTTTGTCTGTCTGACTGTCTCTGTTTGTTTGTCAATCTCTGTCGGTCTGTCTCCGTCTGCCTGTCACTGTCTGTCTGTCTATCTCTGTCTGTCTCTATATATCTGTCTCTGTATGTCTGTCTGTGTGTCTGTATGTCTCTGTCTGTCTGTCTTCGTATGTCTGTTTTTGTTTGTCAGCCTCTGTTTGTCTGTCTGTCTGTTTTTGTCTGTCTGCCTGAATGTCTGACTATCTCTGTCCGTCTGTCTGTTGGTCTCTGTCTGTCTGTGTGTGTCTCTGCCTGTGTTTCTCTCAGTCTCTGTCTGTCCTTGTATCTCAATCTCTGTCGCTCTCTGTTTGTCTGTCTGTCAGTCTTTCTACGTGTGTCTATTTGGCTCTGCCTGTCTGTCTCAGTCTGTCTGTCAGTTTCTGTCTGTCTCCACCTGTCCGTCTCTGTCTGTCTGTGTCTGTGTTTGTCTCGGTCAGTCTATCTGTCGGTCTCGGCCTGTGTGTCTGTTTGGCTTTCTGCCTCTGTTTGTCTATGTCTGTCTGTATGTCTCTGTCTCTCTGTCGGTCTGTCTTTCTGTCTGTTTTTTGTTTGTATGTCTGCCTGTGACTGTCTGTCTCTGTTTGTCTCAGTCCCAATATCAGTCCCATTCATTGACAACTGGGACAACTTCTAAGGTAGAAGGGACCTTTATGCTAGGGATGGGATGCACCTGTCTCGGAATGGGGTGGCAACTTTGGCTGGGTCTCTAGAGGGGGCAGTTCAAAGGATATCGAAGTCTTTAAACTGCTAGGGGAACATATGGGAACGGGGGTGGAGGAGACTGCAGTGGGAGCGGGTAAACAAAGTGAAAGATTACAGGGAAATAGTGTTAGGAATGATGACAAAACTGAATTACACAGGGAGTTTAAAACTAAACGCGGTAAAGGGAGGACTCAGAACACGACTAACTTAAATGTCTACTACGCGAGCAGTAGAAGTATGAGAAACAAAATGGATGATATTAGGGCCTTAGTATGTACCGAAAAGATCGATATAATAACTTTCACTGAAACATGGATCAACCTAGACTCACGTGAGTTACCGGTCGAATTCCAAATTGCGGGAAACAAATTGTTCCATACTGATAGGCAGACCAGGAAAGGAGGCGGAGTAGCAATCTATATCAGGGATAATCTGAAGTGTGAATAAATAAGGAAATAAAAACTGAGCGGAATACACAAACAATTTGGATAGAATTAATCGACAGTAGGGAAAAATTAATCACAGGAGTAATATATAGACCTCCCAATCTTGATAGAGTCAATGAGAGACTTATCTGGGATGAAATGCACAGGGCTTCCATACACAACAAAGTCTGTATAGTAGGCGACTTTAACCTTGGCCAAATAGATTGGACTGACCTTACGGGTAACTCAGAATCAGAGGATTTTCTCAAGACGATCCAGGACTGTTTCCTAAGTCAACATATAACCGAACCCACCCGTGGTAATAATATACTCGATTTAGTTCTGGTGAACAGAGAAAACCTCATTAGCAATGTCGAGGTAGGGAACGAACTTGCAAACAGCGATCACAAAGAAATTAGATTCCAGTTAGATTTTCAGGGCAGACGTAAGGAAATTTCCACTAAAGTACCAGATTTCAGAAGGGAAAACTTTGACAGTTTAAAGAGGCAGCTGAGAGAGGTGGTGTCGCGCTTGGCCGTGAACCTGACAGATGACACCGACCTGATAACGAGATCTGAGATTGCCGAGTTCCACAAAAATTTGAATATTGAGTTACTCAATGCAAAAAGGCAGAACATACCATACAAAAAACTCAGATCAGACAACAATGACCCTAAATGGATAAATCATTATTTAAAGAACATCATTGGCCAAATGAAGGCTATAGGTAGAAGGATATATCGTGGCGAAATTTACCTCCGGGATTATTATAAGGTTATTGGCGAGTAGGGTTAAAACGGAGATATGGAAAGCCAAGAGGAATAATGAGGTAAGGATAACAAGGGAGGCGAAGACAAACCCCAAAGGATTCTAACAAATGTATCAAACTAAAACACGAGAAAAGATTGGACCAATACGGCCAGATACCGTCAAGCTCACTGATAACAACGGAGAAATGAGCAATAATTTGAATAAATATTTTTCAACAGTTTTCACCACCGAAAATTTAAACATGATACCCGAGGCACTGACTCTATTCAGAGATAGTGAAGAAAACAAATTAAGCGAGATAGTAGTGACTAGTAACGATGTTAGTAAGCAAATAGACAATATAAAGCCTAATAAGTCACCTGGTCCCGATGAGATATTTGCCAGATTATTAAAGGAATGTAAAATGTAAGGAAGAGCTTAGTATGCCCTTAGCAAAGTTGTTTAACATGTCCATAAAAACAGGTGTAGTACCAGAATCCTGGAGGATAGCGAATGTAATACCGATCTTCAAGAAGGGGTATAGATGACTATCCTCTAACTACCGCCCAATCAGTCTAACATCAATAGTAGGCAAATTACTGGAAGCAATCATTTCAAACTCTATTCGAAATCACCTGGAGAAGCACGGATTGATCAATGATTCCCAGCATGGCTTCACAAGCGGACGTTCATGTCTAACTAATCTATTAACATTCTTTTCAAAAGTTTTCGAATCGGTGGACGAGGGGCACAATTATGATATGGTATATCTCGACTTTAGCAAAGCCTTCGACAGAGTCCCCCACGAAAGACTAATTAGAAAGGTAGAAGCACATGGCATCAAAGGTAATATCCTTAAATGGATTAGGGCGTGGTTACAGTACAGGAAACAGCGAGTGAACATTAACGGCACTAAGTCCCATTGGAGCAACGTCACTAGTGGAGTTCCCCAAGGCTCAGTACTTGGACCATTATTATTTATTATATACATAAACGACATAGATATCGGCATAGACAGCAACATAAGTAAATTTGCTGATGACACTAAAATAGGACGTGTTATTAAATCTGACGAGGACTCCGCAAAAGTACAGGAAGATCTAAACAAATTTTTCGAATGGTCTGAAAAATGGCAGATGAAATTCAACGTGGACAAATGTAAAGTACTCAGTATAGGAGATGTAAACAGGGAAACCAGATACCAGATGAACAACGATGCCATAGAGAAATCCGACTGCGAGAGAGATTTAGGAGTAATGATAAGTAGGAACCTTAAGCCAAGTAAACAATGTGTTTTTGCTCGTAACAAGGCTAATAAAGTACTTGGGTTCATACAAAGGAGTGTTAGTTACAAGACTAGCGAGGTCATCCTAAAACTGTATCTTGCTCTTGTGAGACCACACCTGGATTACGCAGTTCAGTTCTGGTCACCGTATTACAGAATGGATATAGAATCCTTGGAAAGAATTCAGAGGAGAATGACAAGACTAATCCCGGGCATTAGGAACCTTGAGTATAGAGACAGGTTAAAGCATCTTAATTTGCACTCCCTCGAGAGACGTAGAGCGAAGGGCGACCTGATAGAGGTGTGCAAGTGGAAGGCAGGGCTAAACAAAGGGGACGTTACAAAGGTACTCAAACTATCCAACCAGGAGCGAACTCGTAACAATGGTTTTAAATTAGACAAATTTAGATTTAGGCGGGAAATAGGTAAACACTGGTTTGGAAACAGAGTAGTGGATGAATGGAACAAGTTACCAAATATCATCATTAACTCGAATACGCTGAATAGCTTCAAACATAGGTTGGATGCTTATATGAGCAATAGGGGTTGGGTGTAAACGGGACTGCCCAGTATGGGCCAATAGGCCCGCTGCAGTTTCCTCCATTCTTATGTTCTTATGTTCTTATAAGAAACGTAAATAGACCTTCCAAAATGTTGATTGTTGTCCCCCTGGCGGTGGCCTGACGAACTACTGTAGGTACCACCGTCTAGCTCTGCCGGGACCAGGTCGAGGAATGGGTGGGGGGATGATGGGTGACTATTTTTTGGGGGGGGTTGGGTGGGGGGATGGGAGTTGGGATTCCACAACCTTCCCAGTCGGTGGGTCCTGATGCCTTCCTTTGGCGACTGGTGGATGGTACCCACCGACTGGGAAGGGTGTGGAATCCATCACCCATCCTGGGAGGTGATGAATGGTACCAAATTGGGAGATCAATTCTGAAGATAATGTGTGTGGTTTGATGAGAACTCGCCTACCATCCATGATCTTTATCAAAACCAAAAAATTAGCCCACGATTCAGTGCTATCAAATCCTCAATCACAAACACTAACGGACCGGTTAACCAACATCAGGTCAGAAACACAAAGACTGTTACGCAGCATGGAAAATGACTGGTGGGTAAAAAAAAGCACAAGAAATTCAAGCCTTTACTGATATCAATAACACACACGGCTTCTATGAGGCAGTTAAGTCCATTTATGGCCCACAAAGAAGAAATGTCACACCAGTACGATCTTTAGATGGCACCACACTCTACAAAAGCAATAAAATTATTGCAGTAAGATGGGCTGAGCACTTCAGCACACGTTATTCCAATAACGCCTACAACACTGGATAACATCCCACCCATGCTGACCCTGCAGCTCCTGGATGAAGCCCCACTCCTACAAGAAGTGGAACTGCAATACAAGGGCTCAGCAACAACAAGAGCGCTGGACCTGACGGCATTCCTGCTGAAATCTACAAACATGGAGGTCCCCATCTGACTGAGCGCCTCCATAGCCTCTTACTCATCATATGGGCCACAGAGACCATCCCCCAGGATTGGAAAGATGCAAATATCATAACAATCTATAAGAATAAAGGTGACAAAGCAATCTGTGGTAACAGCAGGGGCATCTCCCTCCTTGTAGTTGCTAGCAAGATCCTGTCAAAAATCATGTTATCAAGACTTATCCAACACCTAACGGAGAACACTCTTCCTGAATCCCAATGTGGACTCAGGAAGGGTCGCAGTACAATAGATATGATCTTCGTAGCTAGGCAAATTCAAGAAAAGAGCCTAGAGCAAAATGTACAGTAGACCCTTACACCGCCTTCATTGACCTCTCCAAAGCTTTCGCCACAGTAAACAGATAACTTTTGTGGACTATGGTGGAGAGGGTCGGTGTACCACCAAGATTTTTAAACATCCTCCGCCAGATGCATGATGGAATGCAAGCCCGGGTACTTGTGGGTGGTGTGCAGTCAGAACCATTTAGTGTCCAAATGGGCGTAAAACAGGGCTGTGTGCTGGCACCTGTGTTGTTTAACATCTTTTTGCTGGCTATAGCACAACTCTCACACAATGCCCTTGGGCCTGATGCAGGTGTGGGCATACGGTACCGTATAAGCGGTATCCTTTTTAATATTAGACGTCTGGAAGCCTACACAAGGACCTTAACAACTCAGGTCATAGAACTACAGTATGCAGACGACTGTGCAATTATGACACATAACAGAGAATCTATGCAACGTGCACTGGACGTGATCTCGGGTATTTACTGCTCGCTTGATTTGCAAATTAACACCCAGAAGACTGAGATTTTTGTCCAGCTCAATGTTCCACCAATAGAAGCACCACAATTCTACATTAATGGAGATCCTATCAAAATAGTAAACCAGTTTAAGTACCTTGGTAGCACTCTCACACCCACCTGCTCATTGGATATGGAAATTCAAACCAGAATCAATTTAGCCTCAGGTGCATTTGGACGTTTGAGAACAAGAGTCCTTCTCAACAATGACATCAAACATGGAACGACGACTGTAGTTTATCTAGCGGTCTGTATATCTACATTATTATATGCCTCAGAAACCTGGACGCCCAACAAACGCCATATCCAAATGCTGAAAAACTTCCACACTAGATGCCTTGAGCGTATCTTTGGAATATCCTGGGAAGATAGAGTGACTCGTGAAGAACTATATCGTCGCTCAAACACGACCAGCATTGAAGCCATGCCAACCAAAAGACACTTGCGCTGGCTTGGACATGTTATCAAGATGCCAGACCACCGGCTTCCAAGACAAATATTATATGGCAAGCTCTCACATGGAAACTGCTCGGCGGGAGGACAGAAAAAGAGATATAAGGACCTCTCTAAAACTCTATTCAAGTTCTGTAATATACAACTAAACTCACAGGAGCAACTAGCCTCAGACCGTTCCTTATGGCGTTCAACATCCCATAGAGGAGCAGAAACACTGGAGACCTCACTGAACCAAAAGAGAGCTACTAAACGAGCCCAACGACATTAGAGGGCTCAAGGCATAATTCCTCTCAATGAACAACATCCCTGTCACCTACGCAACAAGATCTGCGCCTCCAGGATTGGAGTCCATAGTCATCTACGGTGGCATCAGAGGAATAACACATAACTCATTAATCATCTCATCTGGAGCAACGTCGTCATTGACTTCGATGGACTGCCATAAGTAAGTGTGTGTGTGTGTGTGTGTGTGTGTGTGTGTGTGTGTGTGTGTGTGTGTGTCCTTTTCTCGCTTAAAGGTGACACTAATAATTAAGATCGGTATATAGATTAAAAGGCCCAATAGAAAAAGGGTTCCATTAAGTTCCATTAGATACAGGATTCCATTAAGTCTGTGGCCCATTAGATAAAGAGTTCCATTAGGTCTGGGATCCATTAGATACAGGGTTCCATTAGGTGAGAGCTCATTAGATCCAGGATTCCATTAGGTCTGGGATCCATTAGATACAGGGTTCCATTAGGTGAGTGGCCCATTAGATCCAGGATTTCATTTGATCTGGGGCCCATTTTGTCTTAGAGAAAGAGAGAGGAACAAGAAGAAAGAATCCATTTTTAACTAATGTCTGCAATGTTTAAAATCTCATAAAATCTCCATCGATTAAATTCTCTCTCTCTCTCTCTCTCTCTCTCTCTCTCTCTCTCTCTCTCTCTCTCTCTCTCTCTCTCTCTCTCTCTCTCTCTCTCTCTCTACCTACCAAGAACACAAATAAGATTATCACACATACTGTAACCCCCTCACAGAGATCATTAATTATGTGACTAATTATTTTTTATAATGAACCCTTGTATTTAATAAGCCCTAGACCTAATGGAACCCTGTACCTAATGGGCCCCAAACCTAATTGAAACCCTGCATCTAATGGGCCCCAGATCTAATGGAACTCTTTATCTAATGGGCCCCTCACCTCATCGAACCCTATATCTAATGGGCCCGATGTTGGGTTAGGTTATGTTAGGTTAGCTTAGGTTAAGTTAGGGTAGGTTAGGTTAGTGATTAGTTGGGTTAGATTGAAATTCGATTGGGGTTAGATTCAGTTAAATTAGGTTACAGCAGTGAATCCTTCGTTGATTATATAATGTATTTCTACATGAAGATAATCACATCATCATCATCATGTATAAGTCCTTTTCTATTTTCATTCTTTCATTTCTAATAATCTCCATCCAAACTTCCCCACTTCATCTATCCGACCAATTTTTTCTGAGTCTTTCTTAACTCGTGGGATCAAGTGTAGGACCTCCATAGTTTTGTGTCCATGTCAAATAATGAGTGAGTAGTAGAGGAGATAAAAGGCTTTATGTACTTGTGCTAATGCTTACGTTCCTTCATTACCATTTTCTGACACTATGTTGACGTTTTCTTTGATGGCGTGACAGGGGTGACTAGTATGGATATTTACCAGTGCTCCCCAAGACTCCCTAACGCCACACTCACCTACTATTCAACACTCCCTACCTGCACCTCATTTTATTTATATCGTCTATCAGATTCTACCACTACTGTACACTCACCTCCAGTATAATTCTCACCATTGCAGTACACTTCTCAACACTATTCTCCCCACCACTTCCCCACCACTTCCCCACCACTACACACTTCCTAACACCATACTCCAACCATCACCACCATACTCCAACCGTCACTACCACACTACCACCACCACCACCACCACCTAATTCATTCCCAACTTCCAATCCTCCCACACTCCAAAACTTCCACCCATCTCCCCCATTCCCACAATTGCCACCTCACTTCCCTCCCCTACTCCCACACTTACCCTCACCCCTATTCCTTCCCTCATTCCTACACTTGCCTCATCAACCTACCTCCCTCATTCCTATATTTGCCACCCCTAATCTCCTCCCTACACTGTCACTCTCCCTACTACCTCCCTCCCCCACCACCTCACTCATCTCTTTCCACCCCCACCACCTGCCCCCTCTCTCTCCAACTCCCAGTGTCTACCCACCTCTACCTCCCCCCCTTCCCCAAAGCCTATGAACATATTAAGCGCTGGTCACCTCCCGCTATTAACCTTCTGCTACTTTCTATAACTACTCCCTGTCTTCACTATCCTCCTCTTCCTCCCTCCTTCCTACTTCCCTCCCGTGGTTTTTTCCTCACCCTTCCTTCCTCCTATACTCCCTCCCGTGGCTTACTCCCCCTCCCTCCTTTCTTCTATCCTTCCTCTCGTGGCTTCCTCCTCCTTCCCTTTTCATTCCTTTCGAGACTTACACCTCTTCTTCCTCCTCTCCTCTTTTCTTCCTTCCATTCCCGACTTTATCTCCGTTTGTTTGCTCTGTTTCCTGCTATTGTTTATTCTTAGTTCATTTTTTTTATCACCTTCTTTCTTTTTATTTCTCATTTCTCCTCTCACCATCATATCTTTCCTTCTCTTCCTCCTGCTTAATATCGATAACTTCTATGTCTAATTTTAAGCTTCTAACTGGCCATCGGCGATCATGCACTTCATCATATTAAGTATTAATGAATTGTTTAATAGAAAACTTAAGCAAAATTAACCTAACCGTAACGAATATTACCTAAGAGTTATTTTATTTTATTTTTAATTACTGGAGTGATATGATATATTCATCATGGGTGATCTGATATAAGTCTAAAAAATTTAAAGGTGAACGTAAGTTTCGGAGAAAAACAATTAAATCTGAAGTTACTCAAAACAATAGTAGAGACTTAAACTATACAGATGAAAGGAAAACCAATACCAACAATAGGTGCAAGTAATAAATAATAAACCCTGAAACTAAATTCATATATTTCGATGTTCTTTGTCTTTAATATTATATACTTATAACATATTTAATCACGTAATAATAATGGTTGCCCCTTGTGTACGAGGATGGCCGGCCCTAGGGTCACTGAGTGTGAATTGGTTTAAGGCAGTGGTTCCCAAACCTTGCGCCGCGGCGCACTGGTGTGCCGCGAGATGTAAGCAGGTGCGCCGCGAAAGAGCAAGATTATATTACAAAATGTGAAAAATACTAACTTAAATTCGTAATAAAGTTCATATAAAACTGTCAAAGTGGTAAACAACTAAACAAGAATGAGAGGTGGTTTGTGTCATTCAATTCATTTAGGCTAAACCTCACAAAAACCTAACCTAAACCCCACCTAAACCCAACCTAAACCTAACCTAAACCTCAGCTAAACCTCACCTAAGCCTCACCTAAACCCAACCTTAACCTAACCTAAACCTCACCTAAACCTCACCTAAACCCAACCTAAACCTCACCTAAACCTAAAAAAACCTCACCTAAACCTACCCTAACCTTACCTTACCAACCCCCACCCCATCCACCCCCCACCCCACCTCCGACCCTTCCCCTTCCCACCCCAACCCCCCTACACCCCCCCTCACCCTAACCTAACCTGACCCCAACCTCCTCCCCCCCCACCCACTTCCACCCCCCAACCCACTCGTAACCCTAACCTA